GAGGGCTACACTCCTCAGATAGTAGAATGACCAGACTGAGAGGGCCTAAGTCTCTGGGATCTTCATGCAATCTGAGACTGCTTACACCCAAATGGCTATGTGACAGAGGGATGTTTACCTTGTTTACAGCACTGTGACTTTGTGTCTTTGTTTGAGCAGCTGAATTTATATCCTTATTAACATAATAGCAGTTACCACATTTTATGATTACATATTTATTTGTGATGATTTTGGGGTAAATATCTTTACTACTAAAGAATAAGCTCTTTGAGGACATGAAGCATGTCTATTTGCTCACTCTGGAATTCGGGCAACTGCTACCGTGTAGGAACAGAGTAAACTTCCAATAAATGTTTTAAAATAAATGAAATAATAGCATAATAAATGTTTATAACCATGTTTGGCTATTCAAATAATATTATACAGGCAATATTTAAAAACAAGCAAAGAGCTTGTTCAAAAAAGGTTAGAGCTAATACCAAAATGTAAACAGTAACTGTCTGAATTACTGGTTTTAGCATGATTTTTCCCCTACATACATATGTATACTTTAAATACTTTAATTGTATATATATAGACATATATATATTCTTTAATGATTACATATATATCATTAAAGGAAATCTGGAAAATATAGGCAAATGTGTGTTTGTGTGTATAAAATGAAAAATATGTTACAAAACAAAATGGACTAAGAAGTCAGTTGATCCCTGAGGGCCTTGGAGAAGGAGGAGAAAGTATGTGAAGTAGTCTTATTCTGGGAGATTTAACCAGCTGTGATCTGGTGTAGACCCTCTCAGACCGTTTAGATGCTCAAGGTGTCATGTAAAAGCCAAAATGCCCGACTGACTCTTAACATAAGGAAAGAAACTCACTTCTTGATGAGAGGGGGAGCAATATTCTGGAACAATAAGGCATAATTCTTTAAAATATAGCAATCGGGCGCCTGGGTGGCTCAGTCGTTAAGCGTCTGCCTTCGGCTCAGGTCATGATCCCAGGGTCCTGGGATCGAGTCCCACATCGGGCTC